TTTTGAATCCAGCGTCCTTTCCTGACGTCAGAGATATACATTTGTCCAGGCCCCACCCCTTGGATGTTCCCTCAGGGCAGCGCTTTTGCCTTCCACCGTGGTGCTTGGCTGACTTCTGCACCTCTCAGCCAGGCCGCCGCACAGGAGCAAGCGGCGCAAGTGGCCGTTTGGGCCTCATGCTGCATGTGGAGCACGGACCCCAAACAGCTGCTTGCACCACTTGCTCCCGCATGGTGGGCTGGCTGAGCAGTGCAGGAGTCAGTCAAGCGCCATGGCGGGAGGCAACAGCACCGCCCAGAGGGAACAGCCAGCATTTCGGCATTACAGAATCACAGACATCGGGCTACTATATATATGATGTTTTTATTTGGGAACATCAGGATATTTTGCTATGATTGAAAATGTCGTAATGGAACATTTTGACATATCGAGGAGAGAGAGAGATGGAGTGAAAGACTCAGGAGAGAAGACCGACATGGAGGACAGTCCTGAAAATCCCGTCTTATGACAGGCTAATTGACTAGTGATATATATATAGTAGCCCAATGTCCATGAGTCTGTAACGCTGAAATGCTGGCTGTTCCCTCTGGGCGGCATGTCCTGCATGGGGAGTGCAGGGCCTAACTGGCCATTTGCTCCCCTGCAGCAGCCCGGCTGAGCAGCGCAGAAGTCAGCCGAGCACCACAGCAGGAGGTGAAGGGCTGTCGGGTGGTAATGTGCAGCGTGACAGCAGCTCCAGGCCCCACCCCCTGGCCATGAACGTCACCCCCCTTCGCCTCCCACCATGGCATTCGGCTGACTTCTGTGCCGCTCAGCCAGACCACTGCGCGGGAGCAAGTGGCGCAAGCGACTGTTTGGGCTCTGCACTCCTCATGCAGCACAGGCAGTGCGGAGCCCAAAAAACGGCCATTTGGGCTCCATGGTGCCCAGAGTGAGAGGCAGGAGGAGAAGAGAAAAAGAGAGAGACAGAGAGAGGCAGGAGGCAGGGGGGGGGAGGGGGGGGGGGGGAGGGAGGATAGGAGGAGCAGGAAAGAGAGCGAGAGAGAGATGGAGCAAGAGACCGGAGGCTCAGGAGAGAAGACCAACGTGGAGAAGACCCCTGAAAATCCCGTCTTATGACGGGCTAATTGGCTAATCATAAATATAATAACCCAATGTCTGTGAGTCTGTAACGTTGAAATGCTGGCTGATCCCTCTGGGCGGCACTGTTGCCTGAAAAGTTGGCTGTTTCCTGTGGGCAGCCCATGCTGCATGGGGAGTATGGGACCCAAACAACCGCTTGCACCTTTTGCTCCCCCACTGCGGCCCAGCTGAACAGCACAGAAGTCAGCTAAGCACCACAGCAGGAGGTGAACGGGGGCGGGGCAGTGACATGCGGCATGACAGCACCCCCGGCCCTGCCCCCGGCCATGAACGTCACTGCCCCCCTTTGCCTTCCGCTGTGGCAGGCTGCCACATGGGAGCAAGTGGTGCAAGCAACTGTGTGGGCTCCGCGCTCCCCATGCAGCACGGGAAGTGCGGAGCCCAAAGGGCCATTTGGGCTTATCAATTCCATTAGGATCCCAATTCCAATTCCAAAATGGGATTATCAATTCCTTTAGGATCAATAATACAGATGATGTATTTTAACCCTTTCTAGATAACACTGCACTTAATAGATGTTATAAAGGCAAACAATTGTCTTTAGTATATTTTATTCAGTGATAGCCTGCGAACATTTTAATAAGGGGCCTGGACATCATCTTTCCTTTGGATAGCACTAAAGTGATTGTACTACACAAAGGAGGGGAGAGGGACTCGTTTTCCAGTACATTTTGGGTAAACAACCAATTCAAGTTGATCTTTGTTCATGAAAGCTCCAATTATATTAATAGTTTGTTCTACAGTATTATGTGCTGGAAACAAGTTGGGTGTCACAGTATAGACACACTGCTGACTCAAATACAAATTACTACAATTAATTATGAACAGATATTTTTAAAATTCATGCCCCACAATCTGTAAAGCCAGATTCCCTTATTATAATGGAACTGTAAAGACCGTGGAGGATTAGAAAGATACGTAATACATTAAATACACCTACAAGTTATTGGTAATATGATTTTATTAGAGAACCTATCACAATCACAGGGTTTGATTTCTCAAGCTCCTATGTCCAAAATAAGCACTGTGTCCCACTGAAGAGGAAGTGAAGCAAGAGATCTCCATCCTACACAATATGAAGTACCTATTTCCAGACATTCCTTAAATCTGTCAATGATAATTTATTTAATACTGACCCATCCAGCTCCTCAAAACACTGCATTTTTAAAAAAGAAATTCTATATTTGTGAAGAAAACATCTTTAGTACAGATCTTTTTTATTAAAAATGGAGCTGTTTGAAGTTGCTCCAGTGTTTAGAATTGTAAAAGCAGTACTGAGAAGATGGATTAAATTGGTATAATACAAGGGAAATAGCTTATGATGCACAATAAATGCAGCATCACATGGACATGCAATTTATCACCTGGACTATCTTTATTATAGATGTGGTAGAAATGTGTGTATGTATATTAATTCCAGTGAACTAGATAAATTATTACAATATTTTTATTAATACATTTTGTATGTACCAAACCTTTTATATACCTGTCAGTGAGAGCTGCAACTGTTAAATGAATTGTTGTTAAATAACTAATATGAAAGCAAATATAAAAAAGTCAGCTATTTTGGATATTTCATAACTATGGTATCAAGCATTTTGGATTATGAAGGCTGCCAACTGCCCACCATCAGATATAGAATAAGAAATTGCTTTTCAAATTAGAGAAGTCCCACTTTTAAATGAAGTTACTACAACATCAGAAGTTAAAAATTCTTTTTCAGGAATACTAAACCAATGAGTTTCACCAATCAACAATACATCATTAGCACTTCAGTAGAACATCAATCTGATTTCCCTGTGTATTATGGAAATTACTGGAAAATACTTCAATTAGCATCTTCCATCTAAGGAGCTCAACAATTTGTAAAAATATTAATTATTGTTCATCACACTATTGTAAGACCAATCATTCTACAGAAGGGGGAGGTGGTAAGATAAGTGCACTGCTTATTCTTACACAGAAGTTTGAGAGAGCCAGTAACAGAATTCAGGAACTCTCAAACTCACACTTTGCAATCAATGTTGGTCTTGGAGATGTTGTCCTACTTTTTAAAAGTTACATCAGTAAAAAGGGATACAACTCAAAATACACACTATGGGCACGTCTAGACGATGTTTTACTTTCGAAAGAAGATATGCAAATTTGGCAGGAATTTGCATATCATATCACATTTTCGAAAGTTTTCTCGAAAAAGCAAGCGGTCTAGACCCGGTTCTTCTTTTAAAAAAAAAACACTTCAAAAGAACCTGTAAACCTCAATTTTTGTGTTTTTTTTTTAAAAGAAGAACCGGGTCTAGACCGCTTGCTTTTTCGAGAAAACTTTCGAAAATGTGATATGATATGCAAATTCCTGCCAAATTTGCATATCTTTTGAAAGTAAAACAGTCTAGATGTGCCCTAAATGTTTAATCAGAAAGCATAATTTAAGCAGCATCAGTGCCTTAAAAAGCACCAGTAACGTCTAAAATGGGTACTAACATCACAAATATACACAGAAAATACGTACAGCTCAAGTCTCTTTTGGTGTTGGTCATCTTAGTAACCAAATATTACAAACAACCATAACTGTTTACACAACAGTGAAGGGTATTATCAAAAAGACCAGCATCTGAACTGGCTTGGAGACAGGCCTATTCAGCTACCATTTTGTTACTCCCTGAACTGGTCCCTCAAAATAATGGTTGAGGCACGTTCATAGAATAGTAGAACTGGAGAGGTCATCAAGTCCAGTCCTTTGCACTTACAGCAGGACCAAGCACTATCTATCTAGATCATCCCTGACAGATGCCTATCTAACTTGCTCTTAAATATCTCCAGTGATGGAGATTTCACAACCTCTCTAGGCAGTTTATTCTAGTATGTAACCATCCTGTTAGGAAAGCTTTTCCCAATGATCAACCTAAACCTCCCTTGCTGCAATTTAATCCCATTGCTTCTTGTCCTATCATCAGAGGCCTAGGAGAACAATTTTTCTCCCTCCTCCTTGTAGCACCCTTTTAGATACTTGAAAACTGCTATCATATCTCCTCTCAGTTTTCTCTTTTCTAAACTAAACAAGCCCAGTCCTTTCAGTCTTCCCTAATAGGTCATGTTGTCTAGGCCTCTAATAATTTTTGCTACTCTTCTCCAGACCTTCTCTAATTTTTCAACATCTTTCTTGAAATGTGGTGCCCAAGACTGGACGCAACACTCCAACTGAGGCCTAATCAGTGCAGAGTAGAAGGGAAGAATTACTTCTCACTCCTCTAAATGCATCCCAGAATCATGTTTGCTTTTTTTGCAGCAATGTCACACCGTTGACTCATTTAGCTTACGGCCCACTCTGACCCCTAGATCCTTTTCTGCAATACTCCTTGCTAGACATTATTGCAGTGGTGTACAGTAGGAAAACTGGACTATTGTTGCTTGTCTTGTATCTGTCCTGTGGTTAGAGGATTTAATTACTTAGAACTATGATGCTAGAAATATTTAAAAGCATAATTTCAATGCCAGTTAATCAAATTTGAAAAAAAAAAAAAAACGAAAACTTATTTTTAGGCTCTGTTGTATGCAAAAGAAAAAATTACCAACTATGATAGGTTATCAATATTAAGGAAAACATCGCCATGGTAGTCAGTTGCATAAATAACTGGAAATGTTCAGATGAATTTGAGACAAGTTAAAACATGGTAAACAATACTCTTAAAAAGGAGTATTACACTTATTGAAAAGTTTTACTCTGTGTCCCCAAAATTATACAAAAATATAACTTCATAAAGAATAAACCCTTTGCCATGGTTGGCAATGCTAAGACAAATGTAGTATGCAATATTTTTTCCAAAAAATAATGCTGAAGACCACATGCTAAGAATTACCTTACTGGATCTTTTCCAACTCTTCCTCATTAGCATGGTCTGTAAATGAAATAAAGCATTTTAATTACCTTTTTACTCTGACACACGTAGAAAAAAGGAGACCAACTATCTTCCAATGAGACAATCCACATTAACCACGGCTATTAGAGTGACAACACACATTTTCCAATGACAACTACACAACACTGAAATCAAAGCAACTAGACAAACCACTCATGCAAGCCCTTCACAGATGGATTCGACTCTAATATTTCTGGAAACATTAGGGTAATGAACATGAATGTCTAAAATTAAAAAAAATAGGGAAATGGATAAAGCAATAAAAACATTATTTTGAAAGAAATAGCTATTTTGACTGATCACTTGACTAATAAAGCTTTGAATTTTAGAACACTAGCTCCAATACTTCAGAGTACTTTACTTCCATTGCACAGCAGATACAGTCAAAGATGGATATCCCTGGCATTTAATATCACCTTGCTAGTAAATAGTGGTGTTGGAATGTGGTCAGGGAGAAGATGCGTGACTGGGGCTCCCAAGTATCTAGTTGATCCTTGGCCACCAGTGACAGATGGCATAAGGTAGAGCAGTCTTTAGTTTGACAGTCTTAGCTCCAGGCTAGTGCCTGCTAATCCTCAGATCAAGCAAACAGACTATGCAAAGTTGTTCTCTGTCTATCTCCAGTCATGTACCAAGCACTCCTTGGCTGTTCAAGAGACTTTGGCCAATGCCTTTTTTCTGGGCATTTATTTTCTGCTAAGGTATTAGAAGAGGGTAAAATATGGCCTGCAATCTGGATCTGGCCCATAAAGCCACCAGATCCAGCCCAGCAGGGAGCCTCTGGCAGATTCCATGTCTGCTCCCCCATACTCCTGTAGAACAATCCCATTGGCCAGTTTCCAGCCAATGGGAGCTGCCTGTTGTCAACAGGGAGCTTGCATAGCACCCTCCCCCATCCCCTTAGGTTTGTAGCTATCCAAATGTCACATGGCCCCAACAGCAAGCGTGGGGGCAGGACAAGCAAGGTGTTTGCCTGAGAAGGCAGTTGGCCAGAAGTCAAACAATTAAGTCTCCTAGGCAGTACCCGCCTCTGGCACCCCAACCCTCTGTCCCCCACCCCGCATAACCCAAACCTTCTGTCTCCCCTCCTACATCCTTTAGGGATGTCAATGCGTAGTCAACTATACAATTAACCAGTAAGCCTAGGCTTATTGGTTAATATTGTTGACTACACGCATTCCCCACCCTGCATTGCCTCTGTATAAGAGGCAGCAAACGGGGGTGGTGGGGGGGAAGCAGGCTTAAAAGCTGGTTCCCCCCAGCACTGGCTCTGCAGTGCTGCCTCCTCCCTGCCCCCCAACTCCTGCCTCTATCAGGGCAGGGGAGGCTGCCATGAACCAGCCTCTGTCCACAGGCACCTGGGCCTGCCATGTACAGAGGCTAGTCCCTGGCAGCAATCCTTGTCTGCAGGGGATCCTAGCCACCCCTAGGCTTATTGGTTCATCTTATAGTCAACTACACATTGACATCCCTAATGGGTGCAGGGGGAGGGGGAAAGGAGGAGGGAAGGGACAGAAGGTTTGGGTTATGTGGGGTGGGGGCAGAAGGCTGGGATGACAGAGGCTGGATCTGGCCAGGAGCTCACCTGCTTGACCCAGGCTTGGGCCAGGCTCACCTTGCCGGCTTAGCCTAGGCTTGCCATGGACAGAGGCTCGGATCCCCTGTGGACATGGGCTGCTGCCAGAACAGTCTGTCCGCGGCAGGCCCTGCACCCCAACCCTCTGCCCCATGGTCACAGCCACCTCCTTCACCCACATGCTCTCCCAGACATCTTCTGTACTGCAGTCCCTTACTGCAAGCTCCCTTCCATCCCAGACCCCATACCTCCTCCACTAATATCATGGAAGAGGGTAGCTCTTGACCACTTCCCAAATTCTTGGAGTGGCTCCCATCAAAAAGTATTTCCCAGCCCTGCATTGGACCATTGTCTAAATTCAGTTGCTGTGCAATGAAATATTGGTCACTTTCCACCTTTTTTATAGTTAAATTTTATCTAGAGCACTGAGAAGTAATGTATTTTATAAGTTGTCAAACATCTAGCCAGGATGTCATGTACTAAAACTACCAAAATATTAAAGGTTTCAAATAACCTTTTTTATTGTTGGCACACTACACTTTCTGGCATTCATCTTACAAAATTATTATATTTGTTCTCACTCATTTTTAAACTAAGAGGCTCACATGACTTTACCTGAATAATCTTCCAAAATCAGCATTCCCAGAATCATAACTGTAATTTGAGGGTAGAACTAACATGGACACAAGTTCATAATCACTGAACAAGATAGAGCCTATTAGTCAGGATGGAAAGAGCAATTCAGTTGACCTCCAACTATCACATCAAGTACTTAAATTACAGAGCAATTAAATTGCATTGTTAAAAACATTAAGGTTAATGTTATTTTGGCAATATAAATGTTCATGTAGTGTGATCAAATAAAATGGTATTAAGTTCCATTGAAACACTTTGTCACTTGGAAAAAACGGAGCAAACCGTGTACTATGCTTCGTTTTAGTTGCTTTATTTTTCAGGTAGTCTGAAAGATATAAAAACACGAAATTTCACCTATCAGGAAACAAAAATACTGCATGGAAGAAAAAAATATGGAGGGGTAGAAAAATGAATGTTACTGATAATTTTGAAATAAATCATGTGATTTTTCCATACCAAATATAAAACCTTATTTAACTGGAAAATAGGAAGAAAAATGGTTAAACAATGTGTATTTATTTAAGCTGCCAAAGATAATTTAAACCTTAATGGGCTAAATTCCATCCTCTATAAATAACATTCAAATCTCAGCAAGTACTCTTCATCGATAGTTGTCAGAAGGCTTTACCATGTTGGGTAACTCCTTACCCTCATTTTTTACAATGGGAAAACTGAGGCATAGAGAAGTTAAGTAACTTGGCTAAGCTCACACTCTGAGGTGACTTCAGAGGCAAGACTTCAACTCAGATTTCCTGAGGTCTATTCACGGTACCACACTGCCACTCACTGACTACAATGTGTTTTGGATCAGGTCCTAAAAGAGGAGAACATGGCCCCAAATATAAATCAGAATCTAATAATATTTCATCTGAAAATTTTTGCCTTCTAGCTACAAAAATGTTTGGGCTTATCAATCTTAATTGACTATTGCAGCACAAGTTTAAAGTTGCAGCAATAATTTGATCAACTTTCCTTAATAGTCAATAAAATAAACACATAGCACAGGAAATGGGTTCATTTGAAAATATTCCATGACCTGGATGAATTCCCCTCTTTCATTCTCTTTTTCTGTGATATTATTAACCTGTAGACAGATACATAAACATCACAGAGGCAAAAATAATAGATTCAAGGGAACACACAAATCAATAGCATTTTAACAACGGGTTTATGAAACAAACTAAAATTATGCCTCTTCATTTTGGATAACATTGTATTTGCATTCGTCAGCAGTGAACAACATTGATACATGAGGATTTATTTTTTCTTTTTAAACTAATGTTGGCCAAACAGCTTATAGGTCTATGAAATATAAGGGAACATGCAGCTTATATGAACTTACTAAGTAAGTCACTTAGTGAGTTCTCCAGTGATGAAATCTGTGCATTGAATTCTACTAAAGAAAGAGCTAGAAAGATCTCATGCGTGCACAATAGCACAAATGACCATGATACTGGACACAAGTTTACAAGAGGTACACCAACATATTTTTAAAGTCAGTATTTATGCAGTTGCAAATCACTCATATGGCATGCTTTATATTACACCTTACAAAACAAAAGTTGATCATAAACAAATGCAGAGAGTTAAAAAACAAGCTTTATGACATATGACTCAGATCATTTTAAAGCTAATTTTAGGCCTCATTGTCTTCTAACTAGTTTTTGATATGTATCAATTAATAGTGTAAAAATCTCATAATTCATATAATACTGCCTAATTTTTTATAATTAGAAATGACATTTTTCTACTGCTCATATTTTATATTTTTCAACTCATCTTATAATTGCATTGATTAACTGAACTGCCAGTCCACTCAGTGACAAATGATTCAAACTGCGTGATCATGTAGGCAAAAGGACACCATGCAGCATATACACAATATTTTTTATTTAGAATTATTGAAAGAATGCTGCTCCAACACACACGTATTTAGAATCCATTTCTGGTATGCAACTCAAGAAAAACGTTATAGTTAAAACTGCCCTAAAAAACTACACAGCTGCCTTTTTCATTCCTGATATTTTAATACAAATAGGCTGGATTAGTTCATATTTTCCACAGATTTGTAAAATAAATGTCAAATTTTGGGGAAAGGACACATTTTATTAAACCTATCTTCAAAATTAGCATGCATGTGACATCTTAATTTACAAAAATTCTGTGTAATTGGAGGGTGTTCTATTCATAGATCTAAGTATGCATCTGCTTCTAAAATGTACATAAGAATTCAAGCATTAAGAAAGAAAATTTTTGATGACCTTAGACTTCAGCATTAGCTTACAGCGAGCTAAGGGTGCATGAGCATTACACTTTGTCTGCTGTTTTATTTTCAGTTACCTGGCTTGATTCAGCATCCAAAACCTCAATTGTAAGAACCATCTGTGAAATATTTATGTGTATTTCCCAAGACAATCCTACAATAATGCATTATGAATGTGCTTAAGCCAATACTGTACTGAATCTCCTTTCCCCTAAAAAAGTAGACTATTTAGCATAACTTTATACAAATTATACCAGCTCACTTTTCTCAGCACCTAATATGCATTAACAGACATTGGAGAGTGACATTTTTATGAGTGCACGCTTGACACATGAGCTGCAGAGATAAAGAAAAATCCTCCTACCAGTAAGTATTCTGGATCTTGACCTCATAAGAGCTTCTATAAGGCAGATAAACCAGAGAGAAGAGGAGAGCAACACTGGGTGTGACTCACCTCTCTTTTGGGTATCTCTAAACTACAAAGTCTGACCACCCTAAAAAATCTAACACTAATGTTGAATCACTATTGTTTGATGTTTTCAGTGTTCCACATTTGGTATCACTCATCTCTTGGCACAGATGAACATGCAACACGCCTAAAAATATCTTCATCATGTGAAGGACTAACTCTAAATCTCCAATATTACCATCTTCTCTTACAATACAGAACCAGGCCACCACAACATTTGACAAATAAGGTAAAAGGATGTGGTTCCCTCCAATACTCAGTACTCAGTACCATCACTCTTGATAGACCATCAGAAGTTAATATTTGATGCATTTGTGATGCAAGTTGCAAAACCTGATTGATCCTTTTCTCCCTATTGAGAAGGATTTTGGTGTATCATAGAAGCTAAGTATTGAACTGTAGTGTGTCGAAAGAAAGTAAAGCTTCAAATAATATTATTTATCAATTCATAATTACTGGAAATGTTTGTTCATTCAGGAGGACTGGAGAGAGGCATGATTACCTGGACTAATCTGCCAAATAGCGGTATAAAAGTTACAAAGCACCTAGTGCACTATCCTCCAGGTCAGTAGCATAGGAACACCTACCAAGGGACCTTATTACACGCTAAAACATAGTACTTTTAACTCCAGTATTTATAACTGTTGAAACCATGTTTGGAGATGCTCCAAAGATTTCAGTCGTATCCCAAACTACACTTGAATTAATCAATATGCTGTACCAATACAGATGGCAAAATATTAATTACTCAAACACTTCAGATTATCCACTCTTATTTACCCTGGGAGCATGTGTGTTATTCGAATAATTATTTTATAAGGACCACATCTTGCCAATGAAGTTGCAAAGGAGTAACTAAGGGAAACGTTCTGCCTTATCTCTAACAATTAACTATTTTTTGAATCTCATCTACATTAAATTCCATTACAACTACTCTCACTATTACAAGATCTTTTAAAATAACACCCTAAAATGATGGTTTAATTGAAATTATAAACCTTTTTAAAAATCCCTATATTCAAATAAAATGAGTCAATGTGGAAACCGAACACAAGACGTGTTATATCATCAGTCTTTAAATATGCATAACTTGGCATACTGTTTTTTATTAAAAATTTCCATAATCAAATTACAAAGTACAATAATGAAGGTCTCAACAAATAATAAATCAGTTTGAATGGAAGAATAAAATTGCTCCTCTTGCTAAAAATAAGATACAAAAAGTAAATGGAACTGAAGAACTAATACAACAGCATCTCTTTTACTGCTGCTACCATTATAATTCATGGAATCTAGAAGAGGCTGCCATCCAGACAACTATGCATGCCTGTCCCATCTCTCATTCAATATTTATCCCATCAGATGAAGATTCTACTGAGGAGCAGAAATGGAGATGACATGCTGTTATGAGATAATTGTCAGCATATTTAGATTTCACTGTGTAAAAAATTATTCTTCTTTCTGAATAGCGAATAGCACAATGTGTCTGTGTTTGAATATAGGTGTTTAAAAAAAATCTGTAGGATGTTACTTTCTAAAACAGATGTTTTCCTTACAAAAAAAGCACTATTTTGACTGCTAAGCCAGTATTTCACTCCAGTAAGAGCCAGCTGCAAGAGGTGGTCCAGTGCATTCCCAGCTAGGCTCCTCTGCAGGCTGCTGCACTAAACAGCAGGCAGATGAAAGGGGTTGGCAGGGGGCATGCCCCACAACAGTCTGGATTGCCCCAACCTTAAGTTCCCAGGGCGTGGGGAGTCATTCCTACCGATATTTCCTATTGCTTGCTGTTTTCCTTCTGTCATTGTCTGGGAGCAAGGGGAAAGCACAC